GCAAAGAACCAGATAGCGAACACTGACACATTAAAAATGATGTATGGATAATAAAATGGTAGCAGACACGTAATATATTTTATTTTCTCCTAGTTATAGTGGCGTACAACAAATACAAAATTACAAATATATAACTTTTTAACAATTAACATTTATTTGGAAAATACAATATAAATTAGTGATGACCATCTACTACTGTTAAATCTTCATATTTGTGGAGGACATACTGTTAACCAAGTTTTATTCGCGTGCGAAAAATTTTCGCAAAGTTCGCGAGAGCTCCGTCATCATGAATATTTCTCTCCGCAAACCGGTCCTTAAAGCCTATGTGCCGATTAACAATAGATCCAAAAAAGGCTTAATCGCGACAATTAATCGTCACGAACTAGTTAATCCCCGGCAAATCGCGAAATAAAGTCGTTGGTTTACAGTATATTTCTGGGTCTCGTCATGATTATTTTTTTTTAAAAAACCAGATTCATACATAACAGTTATGGTTATCTTTGTGTTGTATAAAAAAGGCAACATTCAGAATACACGATTACAAGGAAATAAAAATAAAACAAAATAAAAAAAAAAAGAAACATTTTTATTATTATTTTTATTTTTATCATTAGTTCTTACATAAAAACATCAATAAAAAATCTATATATATAAAAAAAAAAGACTTTTGGAGTTACATACATGTGGGCCATTCACTAAGTAACACTTTCATGAGAAACCAATGTTTTTATCGGCAGGGGGATGCTCACTTCTCCATTGCACCTGATCCTAATCTGATGTTTCAGCGTGTGTGCTTTGCTCTTGATTTGTATTGTTTGAATGCACTTTTGAGCTTGAATACCGTTTGTTATCTCCATTTATTTCGTTTGAAAATAAAAGACAAAAATACAATGCAATATACACACCATTTATCCGAATTTGCATTCTTTGATCGTAAGATAATTTGAGCTGCTTCCTATTTTCAAATAATTTATTCCAGCTTTTGAATAATTTTGTCAACTTTTATTGTCTAGTTTGGCCAGAGGGTTATCATCATATCGTTGTAATCATCCAAATAATCAACTTGGTCATCTGAACTGCATGTACTTAGATATATTGACGCCCTCTCTGCATACTTGTCCGTTGTAATCGAAGTTTTCTTTGCAAGGGATTTCCCATCGTCTCAAGCCACGGTCCGGAGTCCGCATATAGCTCTCTCCAGAATGGAAAAGGATCGTACATTTTGGCCGTGGTTTGCGACGATGGGGGAATTGTCAATAAAACTTTATCAGTTTTAAACCTTGTCCAACCCAACTTTTCTGCTGAATCTCTTTACAAAACATTATGAAAATAATGCTTAAATATATTGAAGCTAACCTCTCTTCTGAGTCATTCAATGTGGACTTCAATAATGATTTCACTGTGATCTGGAGAGCCTTCCATGGAAAATTGATGACAAATCACACACAGTGGTATACATTAGATATAAATTACATCTTTAAATAAGTTATAATTGCAATGAAATGAAGAATATGTACCCTCAATAACTTTCAGACGACATAATATTGACCAAACTTTGCTCATATTTGGATTTTTCAAAAACGTCAATTCAAACAATACAAATCAGGAGCAGAGCAAACTCGGACCTCTTTAGCATGCAGTGAGCTATTTTGCCTCACACATGTTGGACTCCAAAGTGCGATGGGACTCCAAAGTCCGATGGTCACGCCAAAGTCCGATGGTCTGCGCCAAACCCCGATGGTTTGACACGCCAAAGTCCGATGGCGCATAAACAACTAACATTTATGACGTCATAGTAATATTCGAAATATTCGTGAAATATGTATGGGCAGCGGAAAGGGCAAAAATTACCATTATGAGAAAACAAATAATTATTTTAATTTCAATGACCATAAAAACTTAACAAATGATATACAAAGCATAATCAAGAGACCTTTTCGCAGAACAAATATACATGAAAGAAAAACCAACGACCACGTTCGTAACAAACATATATGAATGCAAAATCAACGCTCATCTTTGCAGAACAAACGTACATAAAAACACGACAAACGAAAAAAACTTAACAAACGTGCACGCGGTAAATCTAGTCTTCCCTAGGCTCCCGACGGTCCCGAATTTTTTATTTTTTTTTATTTTTATTTTTTTTTTGGCGATTTTTTTGGCAATTTTTTTTATTTGGCGATTTCTTTTGCACAGAAACTCTTCAAACTTTTCAGAAAAAAATAGTTTTGAAATGAATTCAATGATATGTAAAAACTTAAACAAATTTGTGTATAAATTATTACTGAATCAGCAGTATCACCTGGAGCCAAAAAGCGGTAAATGTAGTACTCCGTTATTAATATGAAAACCAAAAAGGGACATCGATACAGAGAGACGTAAGGCGTCGTAGATATTAAAGGTGCATGGACACAGATTTGAAGGTAATATTTTCTGTATAATGTTAAGACTTATATATTTAATAGCATTTCACACAAAAATATATCAAAAATCTTATTTCATCTAAAAGCTATTAAAACTTCATATTTTTAGGCAGGTTTGATTGACACATCCTAGCACTCTCACAAATTTTAATTTTATTCTTAATACTTAGGAAAAGATGGAATTAGTATTTTAGTAGAAATTGGTGGTGTTAATAAAAAAAATGAACATTTGAATTCTATAAAAATTCATAACATCAAAATGATTTGATTTCAGAAAAGATTTTTATCAAAATTTTCATAAAAATAGTTCTAACATTGTACTTATGGTAAAACCATGCAAAATGAAAGTATTGCATTGTTATTTAATATATTGACGTAGCATTGTTTTTGAAAAGGGGGGGGGGGGGGGCAACCAGAGAAAAAAATTCAATCTAGCTGAAAAAAGCAAAAACAAAAAGGAAACTAAAATGATATAGCCCAAATTCGAAAATACTATTTCGAGTGTGTGATTGAGGGTATATGAGGGTGTTAGCGGGGTGGGGGTGGGTGGGTGATTAGGTTCAAGTTCTTTCAGTACCATTTTTCCCCCTAATATACATGTACTACATAACCCTTTTTTGACCTTACTCTTAAATTTTTGAAATGTTGCTGCGTGCCTGTCATATGATTTGTCATTGTAATTAAAAGTAATCATAATAGATTCCTGTAATATTTAAAGAAATGGGGAAAACCATTTTATGTAACAACAACGAAAAAAAAATATTGAAACGGCCTTCAGGAGAATGATTTTTTTTCTTCATTTTATGTAGATTCTTTTCTTTCATTTGAAATTTTTAAGATAAATTATCCAAAAAAGGAAAATTTAAAGGGGGATCCGAGGTACAACCACGTCCATGTTATAAAGCCAGGGAACATAAACATGATGTGGCATCGAGTTCTATACGGAAAAAATATGAGGATTTTTTATGCATACAAATTATCTGGCATGTAAACGAAGGTTTTCATTTATTTAAAAAATATATACCTGTTTGTTGTTTTTAATCGCGATCCTACGAAAACATCGGTATCCTTTTTTCAGTGGTTTTCGCATTTATAACGGAGTACTACATTTACTGCTTTTTGGCGGATGATACTGCTGATTCAGTAATAAATACACAATTTTGTTAAAGTTAGTATAGTTACATTAATGAATTCTTTTAAACCCAGAAATGTGCCTGAGAAGCATAAAGAGTTTCTGTGCACCGACAAAAAAAATCGCCAAAAAAAAAAAAAAAAAAAAAATCCGGGACCGTCGGGAGCCGGGGAAGACTAGATTCACGTTTGTTAATTTTTTTTTCGTTTGTCGTGTTTTTATGCACGTTTGTTCTGCAAAGATGATAGTTGGTTTTGCATTCATATATGTTTGTTACATACTTGGTCGTTGGTTTTGCTTTAATGTATATTTGTTCTGCGAAAAGGTCTGTTGATTATGCATTGTATATCATTTGTTATGATTGTATATCATTTGTTAAGTTTTTATGGTCATTGAAATTAAACTAATTGTTTGTTTTCTCATAATGGTAATTTTTGCCCTTTCCGCTGCCCATAAATATGTGCCTCCAGAGCTCAGACTCAAGATAGGGCTAAATTGATCATATGTCTAAAACTAACGTTGTTCCTTAAAATTAGTAAATTTCATATCATATTAGTTCATATTTCCAGTTCCAGGTTGGACGGAAATTGGTCTTATGAAGAGAAACTCATCACACACAGGTGACAATGAAACATATGGAGATAACGAACACTATTCAAGATCAAAAGTTCATTAAACATTACAAATCAGGAGTAGAACAAACACGGGCTTTCTTAAACATCAGAGGTGGGATTAGGCACCATGGAGGAGTGAGCATCCCCTGATGACCGGTCACACCTGCCGTGTGCTCCTTGTCATGATCGGAAAAATCCATCGACAATTCAGTGTGAAAGTAATGGACTAACATTTAATATGAAAAACGCCAGTCAGCATTGTATAAAATGATGGGTTGTATGTGCTGACAAGATCATTGTATCGACTTACAAAGTGATGACTTTGACTGATATTCTAGTTTCATCAGCTTGTTTGTCAATAACCTATCTCGTTTTAGAAATTGTTCATCCCTAGAGTATCCTCTTGCACATCGAATCAACTGTGAGATATAACCTCCGTATGCAGGTTATTAGGTATATGTCGCTGCATAAGTAGATAAGATGGCGATTGAAAAGTTAAAGACATCGCGTTAATCATAAATCTTTGTTGTTAGATTACCATTAATGTGTTTTTTCCTAGTAAAATATCCAAATATGAAACAGATGTGTCAGACTTTGTGGTATATTTTATTTCAAATAAGGCCAATGAACATAATAATTCATTTAAAAAAAAACAACATTATCTGAGCTGTATGATAATAACTTTCTATTTCAAGGACAGATGATCATACAGGTTTAAAGATAATTATTGTTGATAAATTTGATAGAATACACCTGTTTGTTTACATTCATTAAAGTTATCTATGATCTTCCCTCATATTTATGGATGGGAAACATCCGACAAACATGGCAGCCAATATACCAAAGTACCCACTGGGCTCTCCTCAAGAGCATATTAAAATGTGTCGATCCCATGATTTACCTATTGATGTGATATGTGAGGACTGTGATGAATTCATTTGTGGTGAGTGTGCCAAAACAGATCATAGAAATCACGACTGGAAAACTATACCAACGGCAGCCACCCAAAGGAGAAGAGGTCTGCTTAAATTTCTAACAAAGATTAAGGAGGAGGATATGCCAGGAATTAATGAACAAATAGAGAAGACGTCTAAACAAATCACAGAAAATAAAGAATTGTGTGACTATGAGATTAAAAAGCTTCAGGAGCATTATGATGAGATAATATTCAGACTGTCTGAAGTCAGGAAATATAAAGAACAAACATTGACAAACAATCTAAAGAAAAAAAATGAAAAGTTGAATGGTGTGAAATCTGAGTTAAACAAAAAGAAGGAAAAAATTGATGAGACAGTTCAGTTCGTGGAGGAGAACAACAGCACCATGTCAGATTACAGCTTGATTGACAACCACAGAGAACTGAAACAACTACTATCTGGTCTAGATGTTGATATAGAGAACTGTAAACATTCAGTAAGATATAGTAAAGGTGAAATCAGAATAGATGTACTAGAGAATATTTCTGGAAAAACTTTAGATTTGGATTATATTACTTTGACTGAAACAAACTCCTCTAAATATGGAGATGAACAAATAGTTTTATTGAAAGCATCATGTGAGGATCATTGTTACATACGACAATTAAATTCAGGTAACATTGAACAAGTAAACAAAGAAGGGGAGAAAAAGCAAAAATTTAAGATCAGTCTTCATGACATGTGTGTGGCTGATACTGGCGATGTTTATTTTACAGTTATCAATTCCATCAGTTGTCTGTCACCATCAGGATCTGTCTCTACAGTCATCAGTACAGATCCACTGGTACCAGGAGGAATTTCTCAGTCTGAAGGCGGTGAATTTCTTATCACCTTGATAGATAAGGAATCAGATCCTTACAAATTAGAATCAAACAGCAGACGTCTGGTGAGACACGTCACAGTGACAGGTGACGTCATCGATGAGTATGAGTACAAAGAAGACGGTCAGACCAGACTGTTTACATTGCCATTCAGAGTCACACAGAACAGAAACGGTGATATCTGTGTAGTAAACCATACAAGCCTTACAACAGGTAATTTAGTGGTTATGTCTCCGTCTGGTCGGATGAACTATGTCTACAGTGGAAAGAACCAAAGGAGAATTTTTTATCCAAGAGATGTAATGTGTGACTCTCTCTGTAACATCCTTGTTACTGATTTTAACAACAACCAGATCCATCTTCTGAGTCCTGATGGAATGTTTTTGAAATTCTTACTGACAGAGAATGAAGTGCATAGTCCAGTTTCTTCATCATTGTGCAATTCTACACTGTGGATGGGATATTCTACAGGACTTGTCAAAGTGTTTCGATACAGAGTGTTAAATATATGATATACATGTGTTGTAATTGAATTCATTCATATTAAATGTGTATAAAATCATATCTGCATAAGTGTATCATAAAGTATTGTACAGAGTGAAGTATAGAGAGTCATTATTTAAGGAATCAGTTCGGATTAAACTTAGTTACGACAGAACAAAACATACCGTGATAATCATGTTTTTTTAGCCATTCTTATAAAAGACTTTGCTTTACATATTGGTTTCAGGAGCAATATGATGTGATTATAACCGACTATTAGAAATAAAAAGACATAATGAAAAAAGGATTGACGATTTTTTAACAAAATGAAAAATTAAATGATGTGAAGTCTGAGTTCAAAAAAATAATTGTCAAAATTTCAGAGACATTGAACATCTGAAGCAAAATCTTCTTAAGTGTTCTCTTTCAACTACAGTCCCACTGGACACTTCATTACGGGCGATGTTAATACCCGGGTATACTGAGAGTTAAAAATGAAGACCATAAAGGAATCATTGTAAAAAGTCCTACATACAAGGAGTCCCGATCTTTCAGTTGGCGACAGAACTTCATTTCCGTTATGAATTCTGTTGAAGATTTTGCCAAACATTGGTCTAATTGTGAAAAGGAAGAGCTGATCACTTTGTCAGAATGGTATATGTGCTTTAAAATATGTTAAAGATTCGTATTTGAACATTAAAAGGCAAAATAAGAATTATCTATCCTTCCATTTTCACTGAACCAGCAGTGATGAAAGAGTTAGAAATATGATTAACAATATGTTATGGTTCTAACAGACATTGCTTACAAGTAATAATATCGTCCTTGTCTGAAATGTTTATCATTATAACTGTATAGTTTCCATTATTCTTCTGGTAATGCAACATAATTATGCTCACAGTTCCATTTCCAAGGAAGAAATTATCCAAAATCACCTTTCAGTGTTTAATACTTTAATATACAAGTCAGCCAAAGTGATTTCGATCTACCCTGCCCATGCACGGATCTAGAGGGGTGGGGTGGGGGTTCAGGACCCCCTCTGGAATTAAAAAGGTTAAAAAATGTATATACTAAAGCAAGAAAAAAGTTACCATGGACCCCCCTTGGAAAACGCTGACACCCCTGGTAAACGCGAAAAGGTGTGAAAGTGGTATGAAAAGTGAAAGATTTGAGGCAATAGAAGTCATAGACCCCCCCCCCCCCCCCAAAAAAAAATCTTTACAAACAATGATACATTACTGGGTCCAGCAAATGCTCTACCAAGCCTTCATCTTCGCTCTTTACAAAAATGTTAACTGCTGTAAAGGATAAACGTCAGGCATACTGTGTTACAGCATATTCTAGAAGTGGTGTAAATCAGATGCAGATCCTCAACCAGAAGGTTCTGTCGAGACTGAAGCTCTATTGGTTTTTACTTATAGCAAATGAGGAGAAAAGTAGCAGTTGGGAATTGAAACTTTACAACAGCAATAAATAGAATAATGATCCTTGATTAAGTCTCTTTATGTTATTAGTGTAGTCTACACCATTCATCGAAATCAAAAACCGATACACAGAATTGTGTAACTTAGTGTAGTCTACTTGTGTGTCAAATAATATTGAAATCAGACCAAAACTGTTGGAAGAGTAGCATTTTGAAACAATTTCACAGAATTTTCTATTTTTAGTTACCACGGCAACACCGTTCATTGAAATAAAAAACCGATATAAAGAATTATGTATCTTAGTGTAGTCTACTTGTGTGCCAAGTTATACTGAATCAGATCAAAACTGTAGGAGGAGTAGCATTTTGAAACAATTTCACAGAAATTTCTACTTTTAGTTACCACGGCAACATCGTTCATCGAAATCAAAAACCGATACACAGAATTATGTATCTTAGTGTAGCCTACTTGTGTGCCAAGTTATATTGTAATCAGACCAAAACTGTAGGAGGAGTAGCATTTTGAATAATTGTTTACAGACAGACAGACGGACGGACGCCGGACGCATTACTATCGCATAAGCTCTTCTGGTCTCTGACCAGTAGAGCTAAAAACTCTTATAAACTTTTAGAAACTTTAAAATCACCAAATTTTTCAAAAGTCTATAACACCAAAACTTAAGATTTTCTTATACTTTATACAATCATTCCTCACGATTAATTAAAAACTTAGGTTTTAGATATCAATAGACAACTGCTTCTGCAATAAAAAAACAGAAATTGAAAATGTTCCTATATTGTGATTGATCAGCAATAAAATTACTTTATAAAGAACCAGTGTGATTGTAAACACAAGTACTCTGAAGTTGAGATTAAAAAGATGCTGGAGTTCTCCACTGACAACATTTATGTTGTCTTTGGAGACCAAATTTGCCAACAAACTGTTGAATTTCCCATGGGCTCCAACTGTGCTCCAATTATTAGCTTGCCTGGTTTTATACTCCTGTGAAGCCTTTTTTTCAAAGACGTCTTCGTGAGAAGAAGAAAACATTAGTTGTGGCCTACAAATCGACATTCAGATATATACAAAATTCAATTCATTGTTTACTTGCTAAAAATAACCATGCTAAACATTGGTCTAATTATGAAAAGGAAGAACTGATCACTTTGTCAGAATGGTATATGTGCTTCAAAAATATATTAAAGATTCGTATTTGAACATTAATGGGCAAAATGCGAATTATCTATCTTCCGTTTTAACTAACCTGGCAGTGATGAAAGAGTTAGAGAGACTACATATATATGAACAATGTCTTAAGGTTCTAGAAGACATTGCTTACAAGTAATAATATCGTCTTCATCTGAAAGGCTTATTATAATTGTATATAGTTCAAATTATACCTCTGATAATCCAACATATGCTCACAGTTCCCTTTCCAATGAAGAACTTATCCAAAAATCACATTTCAGTGTTTAATACTTTTAATATACAAGTCAACCAAGGTGACTTCGATCTACCCTGGATTTCTAAACTTCGTAAAAATCTTTACAAACAATGATACATGTACATTACTGGGTCCAGCAAATGCTCTACCAAGCTCTCATCTTCACTCTTTACTGGTGCTGTTTATTGCACAGTTCATAGGAACATTTCCATCTACTTTCTACCACCCTCGGGCGTTATCTCAAGAGTCTTCAAAACAGATCCACGGGTTCCAGTAGGAATCTGTCGGTCAAAAGACGGTGGAATTCCCGTCACCTTTACAGATCACAAACTACATTTCACATAGCAGAGTTTGGATAGACATATCACAGTGTCGGGTAAAGTCATCAAATAATTATTAAAACCATACCTAAATACAGTTGGTAAAGATGAATGATGTTTTTTTTTTAATTAAACGTATTTCAACAAGATGCGTTTGAGAAACACTGATGCCCCCGTATGGCAACACAGCGAATAAGAATAAACTTTTCTTAATGCAAAAATATATTGGTAGCCAAAGTAAGATATTCTCACTGGAAATACAAATGTGAAATATGAAAGTAGGCCAAGGTTACAGTTTTTTGAAAAGTACGGAAATCTCCAAGGTCAAAAGGTCAATGTAATTGCAATCCAATGAAGGTTCTTCTCTCGAGGAGTACATATGTGAAGTATGAGATCTCTAGCCCTTCGCGTTCAAAAGTCATTCCGATGGAAATGTTTTTATTATAAGTACGGAAATTTCCAATGTCAAGGTGAAAGGTCAAGGTAATTGGTATCCAAGAAAGAACTTGCCATAAAGAATACATATGTAATGGAAGCCCTAGCCCTTACCCTTCAAAAGTTATGGCCAAGGTTAAAATTTTAAAAAGAAGGTTAAACTCCACGGTCAAGGCCAAAGGGTCAAGGTTCTTGATATCAAATGAAAGGTCTTATTAAAAGAATTAAATATTTGAAGTATTAGAGCCCTAGTCCTAACCCTTCAAAAATTATGGTCAAGGTTGCATTATAAAAGTAGGTCAAACACCAAGGTCAAAGGGTCATCGTTCTTGATATCCCATGAAGCGTCTTTTCAAAATAATAACATTTGTGAAGTATAAAAGCTCCAACCTTTTCTGTTCAAAAGCAATGGCCAAGGTTAAAGTTTTTTGTTAAATACGGAAATCTCCAAGGTCAAGATAAGAGAGGTCAAAATTGTAGGTTTCCAATGAAAGGTCTTTCCACAAAAAATACAGATATCAAGAATAAAAGTGCTGGTATCTACTGATCAAAAGATATGGTCAAAGTAAAAGTTTGGAATTTTTGTATAAACGTGGGTCAAACTATAAGGTCAAGGTCAAAAGGTCAAATTAGGTGGTATCCAAAGAAAGGTCTTGTCACAAGGAATACACATGTGAAATATGAAAGTCATAGCTCCACTAAATCAAAAGTTATGGGCAAGGTTAAAATTTTTTGCGGATAAACAGACAGAGAGAGACAGACAGACAGCTGGACAGACAGGTGGACAGACAGACAGACGGACACGACAAAAACTATATACCCCCGAAACTTCGTTTACGGGGGCAAGAAAATTCTTACAGAAGTGTTTATTTCCTATGAATATTTATTAAAACATTTGAAAATAACAGGAATGTCTGAGCAACTGCACTCCTGGATGTACAGCAGGTGAAAATAAATGAAAATTTGCTTTGATATGAAAAGCCAGGTATGGTCATTGTGGGTATAGATAAACTTTTGCGTAAATTGGTTTAATGCACTTAAACATATCTGCACATACACAACAAACTGAGAAATCCGACTGCAGATTACAGGGTACCGACAAACTTTTTTATCACTTCTGGTTACTTCGACGCTGAGGACACAATTTACAAGTTGTCAGCGTTTGATTCAATAAGTAGCCTAGTGGCAGGATTGGATGGTCCGGGTCTGATGTTTATTCCCGGTGTTGACAAATCTTCAAGTATGATTGTCCTTTGCAAATTAAACGTACGTCACAAGACTAGCCTTTCAATTTGGATATGACCTCAAGAATGTAAGTTCCATGTCACGGTAGGCGTTTGCACAATAAACATCCATGCAACTTTGGTTAACAATCTAAAGGGCTTATCGTTACTTGAAAAAAAGACCTGCACCAAAAATTTATCCTGGTCGCTCATCCGGAAAATGGTCAGATGCATCATCCGAAGCAAGCCTGGTAGAGTGCATCCTTAGATGTATAATCCATGCAAGTTTAATCAAAATAGGGCTTATAGTTACTTGGAGAAGAGACCTGCTCCAAAACATTAACCTGGCCATTCTTTAACTGAACTTGCAGCATCTTAACCTTGACTGGTACACTGAATCATACTAGATCTACCATGCATCTCTGATTAACAAAGGGCAGAGAAGTACGTATAAGGAAATCTGCTCCAAAAACTTTGACCTGGGATGCCAGCACCAAAAGGTATTAAATAAGGTCTCTAAAACTTCGTATAGGTGAGCTAAAAATCATTCTGAAGTTATTTATAATACCATACAGCAATTTCTTCAATAAATTAATTCAATTCTATGAGAAAATAAATATAAACAAAACGTTTGACATGAAAGACAAGTACAATACAACCTACTAATCGTGATTCTACAAAAAAAAATTTGCATTCAGTTATAATTTCACTTGTCCTATTAATGGACTGTTGTCAATATCACATCATCCCCCCCTCTCCATATGAGTGAAAAATTCTCGAGAGGGACGTTAAACAATATACAATCATATACAATCCCCCCCCCAGATTTCACACTATTTTGCCAACTGACATATTCTAGATTTGCCAGAAGGTCATCATCCTCGTTGTTATCTCCACACCATCATGTTGGTCATCTGAACTGCTTTCTGATACTTCTTTATATACAGGTCTCTTGGTAATTTGAATTTTATTGACAGGACCTTAACATTTCCCCTTCCCCTGGACAGATTTTGAAGTTTTTTTCCCTCACAGGTTTTGTTTGGCTGTTGCTAACTCCTTTTGAATCTATAGTGGTTTGATCATTGGATAATTGCACTCGTTTTGTTTTTTTTCGTTTTTATCTATCATCTTTCTTTTAAGTTAAGGATTATTGTCTACTTTAGTTTCAATTTGTTTTTCTGGAGAGTAATGGAAGTTTTTTAAAGCTCTTTTTACTCTTTTAAGCTTTTTTGGCTCCATTAGGTTCTCTGATTGGAAGAAAGAATTTATTCTCAAGTCAAATTAAATCATTTTTTATAAGAAGTAAAAATTCTTTTCCAATTACAAAATTTGTCATACGTAAAACATTGCAAACATACCATATATTTTCACATCATGATATATTTATCAATTAGGCTCTAATAGGACCTTTCTTTTATGATATACCTGAGATTCCTTGAGTTTCTGAAGTACTGGCAATAAAAATTCATCCGTTTTTTTTTAATTTTTGTCCAGCCAAGCTTTTCTTTGGCAAATCTTTATGACGGATAAGGATAAAATACGTATTCGGAACTTTCAATAAAATGCTCCACTACTGATTCCTCAAAACAAAATATTAAAGCTATATTATTTGTTTGTTTTGAAAAGTCAAGGATACTCTGGCAGAAGGTCAACGCCATAGAGGGCGCAGGAGAAAGCCTCTTCTGAACCATCCACAGTGGATTTCATGTACGCATTCACTAATCTGTGATCTGGAAAACCTCCAATGGAAAGTTCATTAAATAGAGTTGTAAACATATATTGACTTTTTAAATCATAATTTTTGGTCAAGTAAGAAAATCAAGTAAATATACTCTCACTAACTTCTAGATTCTGTAATTTTAAAGGACTTCCCTGAAATTTGCATTCATTTTCTTTTTCTGGCTCTCTTCCATCAAAGATCTTAAGAAAAATTTTAAAAAATTGAAAACTTAGATTTATCTCAGCCTATGACCCTCTAATGATCTTCAAGATTACTGACAAAGTGTTCTCTTTCCCCATTTTTCGAAGACAATAAATTAATTGACCTATCTAATCTTACCTTAAGGTCTGCAGCGAAGATATATCTGACTTACTTGAAGGTCTGTAGGAGATATCTGACTTATTTGAAGACCTGTAGATAGGAGATGTCTGACTTACTTGAAGACCTGTAAGAAGGAGATATCTGACTTATTTGAAGGTCGGTAGGTAGGAGATATCTGACTTATTTGAAGGTCGGTAGGTAGGAGATATCTGACTTACTTGAAGTTATGTATGGAGGAGATATCTGACTTACTTGAAGACCTGTAGGGAGATATTTGACTTAATTGAAGGTCTGTAAGGAGATATCTGACTTACTTAAAGGCCTGTAAGAAGGAGATATCTGACTTACTTGAAGGCCTTTAAGGAGGAGATATCTGATTTACTTGAAGGTCTGTATAGAGGAGATATCTGACTTACTTGAAGGCCTGTAAGGAGAGATATCTGACTTACTTGAAGGTCTGTAGGAAGGAGATATCTGACTTACTTGAAGTTCTGTAGGAAGGAGATATCTGACTTACTTGAAGGTCTGTAGAGAGGAGATGTCTGACTTTGAAGGTCTGTAGAGAGGAGATTTCGGACTTACTTGAAGCCCTGTATGTAGGAGATGTCTGATTTCTTGAAGGTCTGTACGCAGATGTCTGACTTAATTGAAGGCCTGTATGTAGGGATTGTAGTGTATTGGCTTATTTCATGTATTCAAAGAAAGATAACTCTATGATATATCATTTACTGTCTTGTACGTCATTTTGTGTACTACGTCATCAATATTGTTGTAGTTGAATAAAATGTGAACCCCTAAGCACGTGTTATATCTTGGACAATGTATGGATCGTTATCCGAGGTTAATTGTGATAAACCATAGGGATACAACAGGAAGATGTCTGACTTATTGGAGACCTGTATGTAGGGTGGGTGGGTGTCTGCCTTACTTGAAGACATGTACGTAGGGAGATATCTGACTTACTTAAGGGCCTGTAGGGAGATACCTGACTTACTTGAAGGCCTGTAAGGAGGAGATATTTGATTTACTTGAAGGTCTGTAGGAAGGAGATATCTGACTTACTTGAAGGTCTGTATGGAGAGATATCTGACATACTTGAAGGTCTGTAGGAAGGAGATATCTGACTTACTGGAATGTCTGTAGGAAGGAGATATCTGACTTCTGAGGTCTGTAAGGATAGATATATGACTTACTTGAAGGTCTGTAGAGAGGAGATATCTGACTTACTCGAAGGCCTGTAAGGAGGATAAATCTGACTTACTTGAAGACATGTATGTAGGGAGATGTCTGACTTAATTGAAGGCCTGTAAGGAGGAGATATCTGACTCACTTGAAGGCCTGTAGGAAGGAGATGTCTGACTTACTTGAAGGTCTGTAGGAAGGAGATGTCTGACTTACTTGAAGATCTGTAGGAAGGAGATATCTGACTTACTTGAAGGCATGTAGAAAGGTAATGTCTGTGGCTGGGAATTCCCTAAGGATCTCCATGGCGGTCACTGGGTCAACCAGATGTCAGTCTGTCGTCTGTGATGGTGCAGTGAGTGAGATCGATCGAGTCCAGCCAGGTACACTGAGCCTTGGCTTCTGTTAGACTCAGTTCATGCGGCACCCCAAACAATCTCAGCAGGTCCTAAACAAAAAGTATATATATTTAATTATATATAATTATATATATTAATACAAGTTAAAAAAATTGAATCAAGGTCGCCCCGACTTATTATCAAGATTTGGAAATGTTCTTTGTCAATTCTTACATGTACATGTATATGCATTGTAGTTACTTTTCTGTAATATTCATGAATTTAGGATTTTATAGATATATTCATAAAGCCCTTCAAGACAAGGGTTGTTATTCACCAGAAAAATATAAATATTGAACGAAGTGAAGCCAAGACATTTTCCTTTTGCTGGTATACTTCAAAATGTTTGGAAAATAATCATGCGATAGATTTGTCTTTTTCCTGCTCAGATACACTGCTAAGGTCTGTTCCACAGAGCGAGCGCTCGCGAACATTTCTATTGGAGAAGGAATTTTGGCGAGCGCTCGCGAACGTTCGCTCTGTTGAACAATCCTAAGGCTTTGGCCGTTGCAACAATTGTTTTCAATGTTGATCGAGGTATTCTGACGTCACAGTGGCACTGTTGGTGACCATCTGGTGAATACGGTTTCAAATTCAGTGAATATATGATCCAGCTTTGGAATGGGTATGAGGGAAATAGCAAATTTATGGTTCCTCACGAGAGGAAATTATTTCCCGAAGCGGCGAAGCCACCGAGGGAAATAATTTCCTGCCGAGTGGAACCATAAATTTGATATTTCCCGAGTGCCCAATCCGTAGTAGAAATATAACAAAACAGTTGTTGACTGAAGTAGAGGGAAACAGTTGATATATTGGACAGGAGTGCAAGCTAGCCAAGGCCGTATATAATGAACATTATATAGGGACTATTTAAAAACTATGTAAAAAAAATAACATAGCTATGATTTATTTTTCCATTTTCATTCCCGTTCAATTAGACTTCATGCATGGTGGCTATACTTGGTCTTTAACAAATTGGTGAAACATGTCCAAAGCGTAGGCAACTAGGGCTAACTTGACCATATACCTGTGGTATTTAAAATGCATTTTATCTTTTAAAAATACACCTAATCATTTAGAAAGAAGTTATTGTGATATACTGAGTAATAGCGAACAAAGCATGTGCAAAAATTCATAAAATTCAGTTCCAGTTCCAGGTTGGTTTGAGTTGGTTCTTCAGGCTTTATAAGAGAATCTCATAATTCACAGGTTGCCATTACCCCATTGGCCCTTTTGTTGAAAATATTATTTCAATATGAATGATAATACTAGTAAATCTCTAGATTTAAAAAGAATCCAGGCTACTGACATACCAAAGAACTTATACAGTTGCATTGCTTATTTTATTTATATAATTCAGTGACACATGAACACACTAGATATCTTACTCTTAATGATAATTTGCTAGTGTACATCTTCAAGCCTGTTTTATCAATATGAATAAGTTTAAAGTCCAATGCACTAAACTGCTTACAGCAAGTTATCTTCAACCTTTATCTTCTAAGTCATTGGTAGGTGGAATTCGACAATCATGGCAGCTATTGAATCAAAATATCCACTAGGCTCTCCTCAGGAGAGTATGAAAATGTGCACAACTCACAATTTACCTATTGATGTGATTTGTGAACACTGCGACGAATTCATTTGTGGAAAGTGTGCAAAAACAGATCACAGAGATCACGAATGGACAACTTTACCCACAGCAGCCAGCCAAAGAAAAAATAGTCTCTTTAAATTCCTGACGAAGATTAAAGTAGAAAATCTCCCTGGGATGAGTGGGATCCATGAGAAGATTGAGGAAATATCAAAACAAATCTCAGAAAATAAAGAGCGTTATAACTGTGAGATTAACAAGCTTCAGAAGCATTTCGATGAAATAATTACCAGGCTGTCAGAAATCAGGAAAAATAACGAAGAAAGATTAAAAGAAAATTTAAATGAAAAAAATGAAAAGTTGAATGATATGAAAGCTGAGTTAAATAAAAAGAGGAAAGAAATTGCAGAGACAGTTCAGTTCATAAAGGATAACAATAGCACTATGTCAGATTACAGCTTAATCGACAACCACAAAAAACTGAAACAACTACTGGCTGGCCTGCATTTTGATATAAATAATTGTGAACATTCACTGAAATACATTAAAGGAGAAATCATTGACGAGGTTCTGGAGAATATGATTGGACAAACTTTGGATTTAAATAATATCAGTTTGAGTGGAACAAGCCTATTTAAATATGGAGATAAAATAATAGATTTGTTGAGGTCATTCTGTGAAGGTCAGTGTTACATTAGACAGCTAGGTTCAGACTGCATTGAACAAGTAGACAATGAAGGTGAGAAACAGAATACATATAGTTTCAGTCCAAGTGACATGTGCATGGCCGATACTGGTGAAATTTACTGTACTGACTCTACCAACCATTCCATCAGCTGTCTGTCACCATCAGGGTCTCTTTCTATGATCATAAGTACAGATCCACAGGTTCCAATAGGAATATGTCAGTCAATACACGGTGGAGTACTGGTCACCTTTGTTGATCACGAAATATTATCACAAAGCAAGGGTGTGGTGAGGCACCTCACAGTGACAGGTGAAATCATCCAAAAATATGAGTTTCAGGAGGACGGTCAGACCAGACTGTTTACGTTGCCAGACAAAATCACACAGAACAGTAACAGTGATATCTGTGTTGTGAACTATACAAGTGGCACTACAGGTGATCTAGTTATCATATCACCATCTGGAAATATGAAGTTTATCTACAATGGACACAGCCTGATGAAGAGCTTTATTCCAAGAGATGTAGTGTGTGACCCCCTCTATAACATCCTTGTTACTGACATTAGCAATAACCAGATCCATCTACTGAGTCCTGACGGGGAGTTCCTGAAGTTCTTACTGACAGAGAATGAAGTGAACAATCCATACACACTGTCCCTATACAAGTCTACACTGTGGGTTGGTTACTCAACTGGGCTTGTGAAAGTGTTTCAGTACAAAATGTGATATATAATAGGCATTCAGACTACATTAAAATTTTTAAAGAATAAAATAATGTATGTATAAATCACTTAAACTAGGAGTGGCAATTTGTTACCGAAAACTCGGTCAGAATGATAGTAATGGATTCGGTTAGCAAATCTAAAAATTTTGACATAAAAGACAAATACCATACAGACTTAATTATTTTACAAAAATCTCACTCTGCATTCAATTATAATTTTATTTGTCATATTATTAATGAACAGTTGTCAAATTTTAATTCATCATTTTTTTACTAGCATTTACATCATTTTCTTTTCATTATTTACATGATGTTTTATAATCTAAATTTGGTAGAAGGTCATCGTCATCGTTGTCATCTTCCATATCATCGCACTGGTCATCTGAACTGTTCTCTGATAGATTGACCTCTTTTTTGTATACAGGTCTCTTTATAATCTGAGATTTTTTGGCAGGACCTCCCCCCTCCCCTTATCTTGGACAGATATTGAACCCGTTTCTCGCACAGGCGTATTTGGCTTTTGCTTACTCCTTTTTGTATTTTAGTGTTTTTTGTATTTTTAGTTGTTTTTTTTGGGGGGGGGGGGGGTATTGCAAGTGCGTTGATCATTGGTTACTTCCACTTGTTTTGTTTTTCCGTTTTCATCGTCCTTCCTTTTAGATTCAGGATCACTGACTTGTTTAATTTCTATTTGCTTTTCTGGAGAGTAATGGAATTTCTTCAGAGCCCTTTGTAATTTCCAACTTTTCAGTTTTTGATTTCATGAAACTCCCCTGTTGGGAGAAAGAATTTATTCTTGTCTGTGTCTGAAAATTAAATAAAATCATTTTGGATATGAAGTGATAATAACAATGTTTTCTGCTTAATATGAAATTCGACATCCATATCACTACGAGGGGTTATCAAAAAGTTCGCGAACTAAAGTAGTCCTCTCCGATTTTAATGCGCATCTGCAACCATTAACTTATTACTAACACACCTGTGAGTCCTTACGTTTTTGAAGAACTGGCAATAAAACTTCATCCGTCTTTATTTTTGTTCATCCAAGCTTTTTTTGCATATCTTTATAATACATAAGCACGGTGATAAGGATACACAGGTAACTCTTGATGTCTTGAACTTCGATCCGTGATCTCTCGAAGTTCTTGACAGCTCGAAGTGAGTCTCCGGTCCAAATTTTTTCCCCTATATAATGAAGCAAATTTACTCTTGATTTCTTTGATCTGTCGAAACCCTTGATCCCTCGAAGTCAAAATGTAATCCAGTTATTCATATTCTATTTGAATTTACCATTGATACCTCGAAGTGGCTATGTGTATACAAGGTTACATAATTAGCCACTTTAAATGACACTTATACTGCAATGTGATAATTGATTTATAATTAATCATATGTTGCAATTGCCTACATGCTATTTAATTAATTATCATCGACTGTCTTACGATAATGTAGAGACGCAGTGTCAGTGAAAAGTATTACAAATGTAATTGATTACAAGACAAAACAGTGATTTAATTTTTATTTCGAATCAAGGTCAAAGTTAAACGGAATATGAAAATCCAGAAACTATGCATAACAGCTTCAGTGTTTTATGACGACTTTGTTGGACAAATACTTACAGAACTTCGTTCAATGATCATGTTTGGAATAGTCAATGCTATGTACAGATGTACGATGCTGTAAAATATCATTTTCAAGTAACGAATGCGTAGTATGATATGTTCGTATTATAACGAATAAATAAATATACATGTACTTGAAATGACGATATGTATTTTTTGATTTACTCAGTTTAATAAATATTTATCTTAACTTTCAGTGAGAGACAAAAAAGGATAATGACATACCATAAAATTTGTACATTTGCATTGGAAATTATTTTTCTTCAGTGACACGTATATTAACGACGTTCGATTTGATATTTAAAGTCTTAAACTTTTTTTGCTAAGTATATTTTTAGTTTCTATATACATAGCTTAATTAAAATTCAAATCAAAAAATGGGGGTCAATAGGCTTCTTTTTGCGATACAGTACATTTAATATGACCTTTTTGCACTGAAACTTGTGTCTTAATTAAAAACTATATTTTTGACGTTTTCCCTCCAATATTTTTATCCAATTAAAGCATGAAACAAAAGGAGTTTGTTTAAAAAAAGACACTTAAAAATTGTGACGAAGAAAAAGTTTTAAATTGCTTCGCATAATCAATTATTTGACCTTTCTGCACTAATAAAAAGTGATTTTCTGGCATTGAAAATTTAATAAGCAAGAAAATTATTTTAAAGTCTTAAACTTTTTCTGATTTTAAGCAAATAGGCCAAATTTATCTTGAATATTTAGAAAAGAACATCAAAAGCGGGGGTATATGATGTAAATTTTCAGATATTACTAAAAAAGTGTCAATTTTACGTTAAAATTGGCTCAATTTTTTCCCGGATTTTCAGAATATATTTACTATATTTGTCACACTTTGTTGACAGAATTCATAAGAAATGATTTAATAGATATTTCAGAACCAGCATAACACACATTTAATTGCAAAAAACAGCTTTTTGTGCAACCAGGATGGAAAAATAGGAATACAAAATTAACAGTACTGTTATAGTTCATAATGGAAAAACTGATCATTTTCGTCTGAAAACCTTCCACCACAAAATATAGTCCCTATCTTAATTCTACTTGAATGGAATTTAATCGCTGTTTTTTTAAAATTAATATAGTGAAATTTGCACTGTAGAATTCAGATTTAATGTTAGAACTTAAAAATGATGCAGAATTTTATAAATAAAGGATCTGACAAAATTACGCTCAAAATCTCAGGATCGAACGTCCTTAAGGCCAATTCTTGATGAAAATTAGATAGTGCATACCGTTTGTTTACATTTTCAAAATAGTACGTGTTATATATATATATATATATATATATATATATATATATATATATATATATATATATATATATATATATATATATATATATATATATATATATGAATTATCAGTTTAAAGTCCAATACACTTCAAAAAGCAAACAGTTACCTAACTTCGAATTCCAACTCTTATCTAATCATAGTTAGGCGGAATCAACAAACATGGCAACCAGAAAACTGGGCTCTCCTCAAAAGAATACTGAAATATGTAAAACCCACAATGCACCTGCTGATGTGATATGTGAGGACTGTGATAAATTTATATGTGGTAGATGTACAAAAACTGATCATAGAGATCACGATTGGAAAACTTTGCTTGCAGCAGCTAGCGAGAGGAGGAGTAGTCTGATGAAATTTCTGAAAAAGATCAAGGAAGAAAATCTGTGCAAGATTGAAAAGAAGATAGAGGCAGTATCAAAACAAATTGATCACCGCAAATACTAAACTTTGTGACTTTGAGACTGAAAAGCTAGATAAGCATTGTGATGAGATAATAGCCAGGCTGTCGGAAATCAAGAAAAATAATAAACAAAAATTGAGAGATGATTTAATGAGAAAAAATAAAATATTAGATGATGTGAAATCTACGCTGAACAAAACGAAGAACGAAATTTCAGAGACAGTTAAGTTCATAGAGGAGAACAACATTATTATGTCCAATTACAGCTTGATTGACGCCCATAGAGAACTGACAAAACTGATGCCTGACCCGGTTGTTGATTTGAAGAATTGTGAACATTCAATAAGATTCTGTATTGGGAAATTTGTTGATAAGGAATTGGAGAATATGGTTGGAAAAACTGTTGATCTAGATATGATCAGTTTGACTGAATCAAGTTCATTTAAATGTGGAGATAAACTAATAGTTTTATTGAGAGCGACCTATAAGGAATTGTGTTACATAAGCAATGTATTGTACAGATCATGGGAACAATACCATCTACTCTATGTCACCTTTAGGCGTTCGATCCTCCAGGGTCATCGAAACAGATCCACAGGTTCCAGTAGGAATCTGTCATTCAATAGACGGCGGACTTCTTGTCACCTTTACAGATCACGAACTAGATTCACATAGCAAGAGTTTGGTTAGGCACTTCACAGCGACAGGTGAGGTCATCAATGAATATGAGTACCAGGAGGACGGTCAGACCAGAATGCTTGCATGTCCAACTAAAATTACACAGAACCGTAGAGGTGATATATGTGTTGTGAACTACACAAGTGGCGATACAGGTAATATTGTGATTATATCTCCATCTGGTCGTATGAAGTCCGTCTACTGTGGACACAACTTAACGAAGAACTTTGTTCCAAGAGATGTAGTGTGTGACTCCCTCTGTAACTTTCTGGTTACTGGCATTAACAATAACCAGATCCATCTTCTGGGTCCTGACGGGAAGTTCCTGAAGTTCTTACTGACAGACAATGAAGTGAACCAACCATATTCGTTGTCCCTACACAAGTCTACTCCCTGGGTGGGATACTCGTCTGGACTTGTCAGTGTTTCAGTACAGAATATAAATGAAATAGGCATTCGTTTGAATTATTTTACTTATAATTCATAAAACTTAGAATTGTATGGTAGTCATATAGTTTTGGTTTTTAATTTGTCTGTACGTCTGTATATGTATACTGATCAAAAATGATCGTAATTTTACCTCAGTAAAATATTTTCAAAAACCTAACTAATATCATTCACCAAGACTTACTTTCTTTTATCAAGAGTTCGAGTCTTGCTGGTGAGTTGTTTTAGAAAACAGGAGTGCAAGAAAATTGAATTGTACTCAGAAAAGTCTTAGTTGTAAGATTTTTTTCTGAAAATGGACACGGGTATCCAAATTCGTTTTTTCTGAAGTATTCATGAATTATTTTGTTTTGGAGGAGGAAAGACTTGAGCTGAAAAATTCAACACAATAAGACGGCATAAGGATGTGAGTGAAAACTCCAATGCAGTAGGGATGCTAAAAGTGGCAAAACTCGCAACGATACGTTGTAGACGGACACCGTGTATCACAGAGCGTCATCACTTCTGTTAGTGACCGAACCCACATTTCACAATTTGCTAATAGTCCCCTAGCCGTGAAATCGTAACGAACAATAGGTTTTCTCCTCATGGGTGTGTCTCTATTGTACAGCGGTTCGTCCGTTTAGTCAGTCTGTCTGTCCAATTTGGCTTGCTGCACTTTTCCCCCAAATACCTGCAGATATTGAGCTGATATTGGGTATGTGAATGTATCTTGAATAATTAGTTACAGATCAAGTTTGCATCTCCTTCCACTTTAATGATTTTGAAGATATTAGAGCCTTTTAAGCTCACCTGAGCCAAAGGCTCAAATGAGCTTCTCTGATAATTTATCCTTCGTCTGTTGTCGTCGTTGTCGTAAACTTTTCACATTTTCATCTTCTTCTCAAGAATCATTGGGCCAATTTCAACCAAAATTGCCACAAAGTATCCTTGGGTAAAGGGGATTCAAATTTGTTCAAATGAAGGGCCACTTCCTCTTCCAAGGGGAAATAATTATGAATTAGTGATAAATGGCATTTTTAAAAAATCTTCTTCTCAAGAACCACTGGGCCAGGAGAGATAAAACTCAATTGGAATCATCCTCTTGTAGTGAAGATTCAAGTTTGTTCAAATCATGACCCCCCGGGGTAGGGTGGGGCCACAATGGGGTATCAAAGTTTATATAATATAAGAGGTCATCAGAATCATTTCCCATCAACAGCAAAGCCGTGATAAGGAAGATTCAGTAAAGTAGATTCAAAATGGCAGATTCAGTTTTGTTCAAATCATGTCCCTGGGAGTAGGGGAACTACAATATATGTATGTGATGAAAACTGTACACAGTTAAAAAAAATTTGAAAATTTCATTTTCTCAGAAACGGCAAAGCAATGATTAGTCTCGTCTTTATGGAAACATCCTAAGGCAGTAGAGATTGAAGTTTGTTCAAATTATAATCCCCTGGGGTAGGGTGGGGCCATTATGTGCAAACAAAATTTTGCATAAAATTACATGGTTGATGCAAAATTTTATTGGTTCATGGGGAAGTAATTTTGTAGGTTACTTGTATATCCAGAAGATTGAAAATATAAATGTTAACAAAATAAACCATTATCGGGATGAAAATTTTTGGACAAGGGTGACCTGCGAAATCCACGAACATTGGTCCCCAATGAACATTTATGATTCCAAGTATAGGAAAAGGTCTACTGGTGAAAAACGGAAGGGCCTGAGCTACTCAGGTGAGCTTTGTTATCCATAGACCTCTTTCTAGTTGATATAAAAAGTATGAAAATATTACAACTGTATGTAAACATTGGGTTCAGTAAGTGTCCTTGTGGTAGGGTGCTCACTTTGTGAATGGAAGGTCTGCATTTGATTTACATACCTGGGGTATCTCAACCCTAATACATTTCAAATAAGAAATGACTGTCCTTTGTCAAGCTACAAAAGTCAAAGGACTTACATGTATGTATTTGACATCAGGAATGTTAATTCCATGAAACTGATGTCACAATAGGCATTTGCAAAGAACCCTTACTGGTCAATGGCCCCTTGAGTGCCAAGCAAAGCTCTAAATTTAATGCCTTTAACTGGTGACATCAAATATGAATGAAAATTTCTTGCAAGGGATGTAAAACAACAAGCAATGAGTACTGTAGAGTCATATAAACTCTACACTGATACAGGGAAATCAGAAACTCAAGCTTTCTTATTATAACTTGAATAAAAATTACCAGACTTTAAAAATCACTTCTGAACATATTTATATTACAAGGCAGCAATTTTTTTCAATAAATAAATTCAATTTGATTCCAGGAGAAAATAAATACTACATATAATAAAATGTTTGACATGGAAGACAAATATCATACAACCATACACATCATAATTTTACAAACATAATGACTCTGCATTCAGATAGCATTTCATTTGAACTGTTGTCAATTTCACATCATTTTCCCCACCTTTCAAATCATTTTTGCCAACTTTCATAGTCTAGATTTGCTAGAAGTTCATCATCATCATCGTCATCTTCCCTATCATCGCGCTGGTCATCTGAACTGCTCTCTGACAGGTTGACCTCTTCTTTGTATACAGGTCTATTTATAACCCCAGATTTCTTGGCAGGACCTTTCCCTTTCCCCCTCCCCCTCCCTCGGACAAATTTTGAACTTTTCCCCCTCACAGGTTTTATTTGGCTTTTAGTCACTCCTTTTGAATTTTTAGCATTTTGATTATTGGTTATTTTCATTCGTTTTGTTTTTGCGTTTTCATCTTCCTTTCTTTCAGCTTCAGAGTCAACGACTTGTTTAGTTTCTGTTGGTTTTTCTGGAGAGTCATGGAACTTCTTCAGGGCCCTTTTTAACCTGACACTTTTCAGCTTTTTTGGTTCCATGAAGTTTTCTGGTTGGAAGAAAGAATTTATTCTCGTCTGTGTCTGGAAATGAAATTACGCCACATTGTGTAAGAAGTGAAATTTTTTCCACTTATGAAATTTGACATCCATATCTGATTCACTTTGTATATTACTTACAACCATACCAGGTCACACAATTTACATATCAATTTGCCCTTCTAGGAGACTTTCATTTACGACATACCTGTGAGTCCTTGAGTTTTTGAAGAACTGGAAGTAAAACTTCATCTGTCTTTATTTTTGTCCATCCCAGCTTTTCTTTTGCATATCTTTATAACATAATAAGGATACAACACTTCCATAAAACTTTCCACAAAATGTACTACAGTTTATCCATGTATTGATGTTCTATATCAAATGAAACATTAAATAAACCAATTTTATATGTTGTTTGTGAGGTCAAAGATACTCTCTCAGAAGGTCAAGGTCAGGAAGGACCCAGGAGAATGCCTCTTCTGAATCATCCACTGTGGGTTTCATGTAAGCATCCACTATTCTGTGATCTGGAAAACCTGCAATAGTAATTGATCTCGAATCACACACAGGGACATAAACATAGTATATAAACATTAATCAAAATTTTTGGTCAAAAAATAAAATCAAGTATACCCTCACTGACTTCCAGACGCCGTAATTTTGATCGTACTTTGCTCACATTTGGATTCCTTTTCTTTTTCTGGCTTTCCTCCCACCATGACCTTTCAAAAAATAAAAATGGAAAACTTAATATATATTTCAGCCTATGACTTATAAGTTTCACTGTTGATGATCAGCCTATGACTTATAAGTCTCACTGTTAATGATCAAGATTAAAATGATGAACTAATTGTTTTGCATCTCCCACTTGCAAATTAAGACACTAATATGACTAGCCCTTCTCAGACTTTCTTGTCCTTTTTTTAATTAGATGTCAGATGAACAGATATTTCAAATGATGTGGACTTACAAATTTTTTTCATTCTCCACTTTTTAAAGACAATAGTATGTCTTTCTTGACTTACTTGAAGGCCTGTAGGGAGGAGATATCTGTGGCAGAGAACTCACTCAGGATCTCCATGGCAGTCACAGGCCCTACCCCGGGGATTCCGTCTGTGTAGTCACTCCCACACAACAAGGCCAAGTTTATCAGGATCTCACGACTCAGACCTACAGTGACAGCAATGGAGAAATCAGTTCTGATTAAGAATGGTTAATAAAATCTTGTAATACATTATTTATTTTCTAAAATTTAAAAACTTTGCTATAGAATTGGCTTGCTTCCTTCCAAACTAAATCACACATCCAGGCAGCTTTTTGAAATGTCTCTACTCAATTTAGGCTTTGGTTATCGGGTTAATGAATATCATGAGAAATATGCTTTAAACATAGGCCCAGTTTTAGATACTGTTCGTTTGTCCTCTCCCTACCCATGATGAAAAAAATAGGCAGGTAGGAACGCGTGAAATCTTTTTCTCAAAAAGTTCAACAATGCTGAAATTTTAAAATCTATTTTCCAGAATATATATAAATCAAAGTACTCAGAAGTACAGAGAGCCGGGCTTATTTACAGAGTAGAATGGATTTCTTACATGAATCATGTTTATATTCTGATGAAAAAATTATTTTAAAACTATCAATATAAATGATAAGACACTGACAGTGAGTTTTTCAATCCTAATACCACAGTCCGATTTTCTCAGAATCAGAATTAATCTGGTACCGCAGCTGAATGTAAACAAACAGGCCAGTCTGGTTCCCTCTCCTGCTTTACATCGTATGTGTAGAGAACTACGGTAACACTGATTATCAAAAATCCTTACGCTAATGAACTATGTTCTTTGACTTATGAAGTTTTCAAAGTCATTACTACTAATGTTTGTTTTATATAGATAAAATTTCGTTTTATTTTTGTTGCTTTATTTAGCGTTTGTATTATCTCAAAAGCGGTTGAGAGTAAGAGCTATATTTTTGCACGTAACTTTAAAATGGCGACTATGGGGTTAACATCCTGCCTTGAACAGGATCACATAAGCCGGCAATTGCTCTTTGAGCAATAAGCCCGGCTAAAAATAATTGTTTTGGAAGTCCAAAAACGGTTTTGGGTCGGGCGATTTTTTGCCACTTGGTAGGGAGAGGGCAACCAAACAATTCTTTTAAATATGGCCTGAAATATATGATTCCATGAAATACTTATATCTACACAAATACATGACAATACAGAAAATGCTGTATCTTACCTAGCTGACTTTGTATGCTGTCCTTCTGATAAAACTCCACCGTCCGATCCTGGTTAAAAAAGTTTTTATAAACACGCCTCCCGCCAAACAGCCAGATGTCACTGTCGTCCGTGATGGTGCCATGAGTGAGATCGATTGAGTCCAGCCACGCACACTGAGCCTCAGCTTCTGTTGGACTCAGTACATATGGAACCCCAAACAATCTCAAGAGGTCCTACATAGTAAATGTGTATACTGTAAATGTACTGTATTCAGCCGATATTTTGTGGAAATTGGGGCTTAATTTTTTAACTAACTTAGATTTGATTTAGCACATTTCTTAATATTTTTAATTATGTATATATGTGCAAGACATTTTAGCATTGTACTTGAATTAGCTGAAGTTTTCTTTCCATCAAAAGTGCTATTTAAAAAAGAATACACAGTCAAATGTTATTCGTTTAAAGAATACATGTATGATAATATACATTAAGAAGTTGAAATCTGAAATCTACAACATGATATAAGTTGCTCTAATGTCTATAAACATGCTTGTAAGTTAGTGTTCAGCAGAGGGTTTGGTTCACATACAGACCTGAGCCTCCAGAAACATCTGATCGGAGAGAGAGGTAGCCAGTCTCTCTTGTCGACCTCTCTCCTGCTGTAGCGAGCGTGACTCGAGTTCTAGTTCCTCAGACACCCTGTCTACATCATTCTGTTAGAAAAAAAAAACACCAGTCATAATCAGCAAATAAAAGGAATTAAACTTTGTGCCTATTTACAAGATTGTTGTAATCACTTGAGACTATTCGTTAACCATGTGCATTTTATTTTCAAACATCAAAAGGACCCTACTTTTATTATTATGACCCTGACTGATAGGGGTCCCTGTGATTTTACATTGTTGTTATTTATAGCCCAAGAGTGGCAGCAATAGCCTGTGGCTATAAATAGCCACTGTCTTAAATTCTTAAGAAAGTATTTGTGAAAATTTTTAAACAGAAAATATTCTCTTCTTATTCTTGAACATGTTCAAACAATTTAATGAATACCTCTACTAATTGTGTGAACTGTTTTACGAGATCTCTGGTTGCCTCTGGACTGGATGCTATGGTTTCTGGCTCGACCTCGATATGCTCTGGTTCACTCTCACGGACTTGTTCTTTCAGGGGTTCAAACTCAGGGACAGGGGTGAGGTCTTTTTCTGGTATGGAGGTAGTGGTGAATATATCAGCAGGAAACAGCTCATCTGGACCCACATTTTGAGGATCAATGGATACTTCAATAAATCCCTCATCTGTTTAAATTAAAAATTAAAATTACAACATGTGGGTGAAGAAAAAAATCATAATAATATTAATCATACAATTGAAAATGTTCCTTAGCATCACTTTGTTCTATAATTTTTTGCTATATAAGTACATGTATATCCAATTTTTTCAGATCAACCAAAAATATAGTTAAAATACTGCTGCCTTAGCATTAAAAACAAATTATCAACAATTCTTACCTTCTGAATCACTGGGTTCATCCTCATTAGGCTTGTCTTCCTCACTCTCTTTATCTACTGCTATCTGGTTCCTCAGGCTCTTTACCTCAGTGTTCTCAACCAAACAAGGTTCCCCTGATTTGACACCAGCTCTGCTATCCACATTCAAGGTCTTTGAGGTAGAAGTGTTGTTTTTTAATTCTGCATTGGTTTTTTCCTGAGACTTTACTTGAGACTGAAATATTTCCTTCTTGCTCAAATCAACTTCATTTTGTCTTCTCAAATTGATTTTGTCTGATTCACTGTTTTCCTCATCTGAATCACTAATGTCTATCACTCTTTCTTTTTTCACAGATTCATCAAGGTTTTCCACTGAAGACCCCTCATCTTTAATCCCTTTTTCATTGTTTTTGTGCACTCGACCCTGAATATTTCCCCCTCCTTCTCGTAAATTTTCACTGCCCATTTCACATTCACATATATCAGTATCACTTTCTACCAGATCATCCCTATGATTTTCAGATCTTTCCTCCTTTCCTCCCACTCCAGCTATAGATTCTTCCTCCATTTCCTCTGTTTCCTCCTGAATTCTGTTCAGTTCCTCCATCTTACGTTTATTAGTTAACCCTTTGATGAGAATGAAATGTGAGTTGTCGTCGGACAGAATCCGGCGAGTCTGTATCTCGGTTCCCACGGTGTGCTCGCCGAGATCACGAGTTATTGCTCCGGATACCTGGCTGTTCATTTCTTTTCTCACCTCCTCAATCTTATCTGACAAGTGACTCTGTTTCAGAATTTTTGTCATTTGGAAACTTGAAAAGTCATTTGAATTCTGTAAAAGAAGAAAAAGACCAAAAATCTCCTGATACATCTTTCTTTGTAGTATTTTATGCCCTTTACTCAAATATGTATTGTTTATAGATATTTTGACACCTTTTCTTTATTGATACAAACAGTTCCTCCAAATCAAAATGTAACATTTATTAACTTATCTCAGAGAGAACAAGATTTGAGTATTGAGTGAGTCTTTTTTTCTTACCTCTGGTAAAACAAGATTGGTGTATCGAGTGAGCCTTTTTCTCCTTTCTTTGAGTTCACTCAGAATCTCATGCTGGATCTCAGAGGGTAAACTTTTAAACTCAGGTGAGTCTATATCTACATCATCTAAGTTCTGAAACTCATCCTATGAAAAGTAAAATTGATGAAAAAGATGTTTCATGCCATAAAACAATGTTTTAATGGATTTTATTGTGAACTTTTATTACGTTCTCTCAGTATTACAATATTTTATTGAGACAAAATGAATATGCTACATGTATTGGATACCTAAATGTAATAAGGATGAAAGTTATATTTACTCATTTTGAAAGTATTTTTTAGCTAAAAATTCCTTAAATATCATTGTATTTAACCTCTACTCACCTGAAACACAGTTGCATTTGAAGTAGCTTCCTCCCAAGGCTGAAGTTCTTGTGCTCTTAAAAAAAAATTAAAAGTCAACATTGATTACTCCATTTACAAAGAGGTTTCTCATGCAAGATCTAGTACATGTAGTATATAATCATAATGATATTTCCCTTACATATACATGATAAAAGTAATCAGAATTCTGTACGCCCAAATGAATCAAGTTAATTTTTTCCCTGAATACTGTAAACCAACTTTTATTCGCGACGACTTTATGTCGCGATTCACCAAGGATAAATTAGTTCACAACAATTTATTTTAGCAATCAAGTCTTTTTAGGATCTGTTATTAATAGACACAGAGACTTTAAGGATCAGTTCACAGTGAGAAATATTTGTGATGACGTGGCTCTTGCGAAGCTCAAAAAATTTCTTGCCTGCGAATAAAAATTGGTTAAATACCTGATAAATTCCTCTGTTGGGGGTGGTAACTGAAAAAGATCCCGTTTCTCTGCTGTGTCCTGGGACTGACTTGATGTTGAGGGCTGAGCGGATGTAGAGGGCAGTGATACCTGGGAGGTGCCCACTGTGGAGGCATGGCCTTTGTTTAGCACCTCCTTTAGGGCGTGGCTTTTCAGAAGATTGTCCAGTAACTTTTTAGATGCTTTGTCACCTTCGACCTCAGCCATCATTTTCTTTTCTCTTCGAGAGGCCTATTGGGAAGATATGAGAGTAATATTAAATATAATGCTGATGCTTTTCAAAAACTTTAGGAGCAAAGTACACTTGGAATGGAAATATCTTGACACATACACATAGTTGTGTATTATAAGCACCTCTGAATAAGTCTGGATTAGCCACATAGCTTATTCAAAATCAAAATCCGTTACATACACAAAAGTAAAACAATTCACAGAAATTCATCTGCACAGCTGTTTAAAACTAAAAACTTGAAAATTTTAAATATGAAAATTTTGCAGAAATTCAAATCAGTTACATGAATTAGAAATTAAACGTCTCACTATTGTCTGCTTTTTAAGCTCGGGAACACTTCCATCAAACACAAACACTGGTTTGATCTTGTAGTAGAGGAGTTTACAGACCCTGGTAAAGAGAACGTGTAGGTGGGCATTGGGTAGGGGGTTCCCACTTCTGTCTCTCATCCCCTTCACTGCCTGATGCAGCCATATACTCACATCTATAGTTCTATGGTTAAGGTGGCTCATTAATACTGTTACATTCTTTGTGTTTCTTTCTCTGATATGTCTAGATCGACTCATGAATAAACATAAAAAGGTTCAAATGTCTAAGATGCATCTAGTGTCATTATAAATCATTATGTTCAGATTGCCTTATTAAGCAATCAAAAGGACTGGTCATGTACTGCACTTTTCTTACTTGTTACTTTAAAGGGAAAAGGCCACTCGAAATAGCAGTCTCTGTATAGACTATGGAAAAAACTATAGAACCAACTTCATATATGCATGATGCTTTTAAATTTTGACATTTTTTATGAAAATATAAACCAGTGATAAACAGATCTACTAAATATATTGGTCTCTGATTACATTAAACTCTAAGTAAAAGAAAACAATGAGTAATCACTTATAGAATAGATCATTAAACATTACAGGATTATAATACTGTAAAATCACATATTTATTATTTTCGTGGGGTCAAATTTTCATGGTTTTAGTAAAAACTCTTGGTTTGGGGGGACTTGAATTCATGGATGAAGATTTGTTGAGTAGTTATGTATGTAACATTTTAAATTTTGTTGTGGATATGAATTCGTGGGTCTCTTTATACCTCGAAAACAATGAAAACTAGAGGTACTGTGAGCAATGAGCTCACTAAATGATACCCCCCGCCTCCCATAATGTCCATGTGTTGCTCTGTATTGTTTTACAGTAATGTGTTAAGAGGAATAACTCGTCCTATCAAATGTTATCCAGAAGCTTCTAAATGTGACGTCATAGGTAAACATATAATGGCAATGTCCATGTTTTGCTATGGGAACCTAAAATACTTGTCGAATAAAAAAGTAAAATAGGAGGTGCACAATGGCAATGTGTAATAAAGATTCTGTGAATTTAAGTTTCATTAAATTTCACTCAGTAGTATAAGAGGAGTTGTGGATAAGAGATAAAGCGTAACAGACGGATGGACGGAAATCCCGATTACTATATACCCTTCCACTTTTCAAGCGGGGGGTATAATTAAACCCCCACAAAAATAAACACATATAAAAACACATTTCAATACAATGTATAACATAGAAGTCAAAGGATACCAACTGCTAAAACCTTTCCTTCTAAAGACTGCAGGGACACAGGTCTTCCAGTCGGTTGCAGTAGCTGCCACAATCCGTGCACACCCATCTTTTATCTCAAGTCACTTTACAATCCAGACATGATGCTTGAACTGTAGAAACAATCAGAGACTGGTCTGTTACACATTGATAATCAAATGGGTCATTTTCACCTACAAACCACTACTTGCCAGATGCAAAAGTCTAACGTTATACCCTCAGTCATTAATACAAAGAGGAAAATCTAGGAAAAATCATCAACATTATGTACAATGTACTTCACGTCTCAATGCAACCTTAATCTACTTTCACTTTCCTCTCCTCTGTTACATAAGCGTTTAGCGCTTCCTTCTAATCATATAGATTTAAAGAATGCTGTTCATTTATGTTTTTACTGTAAATCGAGAATTATGTAATCGTTTTTTTCCAATTTCTTCTGATTTATCGACTTAGCCTACAAGATATTATTGAAACTGTACCGGATTTCACAACCTGCAACCAATATACCTTCGGAACTCCTCGTATGTTTTGAGGAACACGTGCTCCGTAAATAATAATGGCGGAAAACGGTAAGGCAACGCAGTTTAAAAATTCAAGTGTAGCATTGTATTCAGGCATTAGGGATCTGTATGTTATTGACACTGCAGATCCAAACTATACGTCGAAAAGGTTTTTCGACTAATATATCGCTGACCTACCTGTTTAATGTACCAAAGGGATGATCCATGGTTGCACACGTGGTTGACAAAGCTTCAAGTATTTGAGAGCTCAAAACTCTTTTTTTTTTTTTTTATCACGCTTTCTTTATGTGATTGATGCATAGATTCTTTTTATGGGCAGAGTTAATGTGATCAGAAATTGGTGTTATGTAACGTGTGTCAAATTCATTCTGTCCCATTTGGGAACGCATTCAGACATGTAGTCTTGTTGATTTGTTTTTAGCTTTGTAGCCTAATGTATCGTTGGGTACTACTGTACCCAATTTCATTTATTAAACTTTTTAAAAATACAGAAAGAAATAGGCAATATCTTCATTTTTAGTGTTTTTTACCGAGAAAACAAAAATCATCAAACATGAAAATGGGAAATTTGGGCATTCATTAGTTAATCCATTGAACTGTGTCTTTGTGACACCACAGTTGCTTTGAATATATTTTGCATAATCGCTCCGATGATTTTGAAGAATACAACAGGTCAAAAGACTATTTCTACCTAAGTAGCTATTAATAGCTACCTAGGTATGGATGTTGTAGCTATTTTTACCTACTTTTTATAATTTCTGCATTTTGCGGCACAAAAACGACGCAAAATGATGAATACCATATCTTTTGATACAGTCACACTAAGGATGAAAATTTTGGCCAAAAAAGGATAACTTCATGAATCAGCAATTTTACATTAGTTTCTATGCAAAATTGATAATATACGAAGTAATCATTTTTTGGTCAAATTTTTGTCATATCCATCATCAGTGTGGCTGTATCAAGAGATTTTGTGCTCACCATGTTGCGCCGTTCCTGCATTTGGCCACAATATGCAAGTAAAGCAGAAAGTAGGTAAAAATAGCTACTTTGGGTAGCTTTAAATACCTAGGTAGCTATTAATAGCTATGTAGGTAAAAATAGTCGTTGGACTGGACCTGTACAAAGGCATTTTAACTGAAAATAACTTCCAAATTAATCATAACAAACCTTTTTGGGGCTGTGTAAGTATTTAAATCTTAAGTTTAGTCTAAATAAAGACGAAAATTAAACTAATTTTCTCAACATTTTTTCTTGCTTCAAATTTACACGCCATGTTTACGTATGGAACTCTCTTGATTGTTCATAGTAAATGCACTAGTACGAGTTATCGCCCGTGTTTACTTTGCTACATTGTGAATACATGGAACGCATTCTATCGTTAAACCGGGTCCGTGGGACATTTATCATTTTAACGATAGAACTTTCTATCAGGGCATTCATTATCCTTTGAACATTGTTTTGTTTTGTGACATATTGCTCTGAAATATTTTTCATATTTGTAGAACACAAAAAGAAGAAGAGGAAGAGTGAAGCAGTGGATGTTGCAGTATGTTTATTTTTTTTGTATTCAGAACAATTGTCATGCAGACTGTAGCATAAATGTACAAGAAGACTTTCATCAATTCATGCTGATATTTAATGCTAATTTTATCATAAAAGCTGTCAATGAAATTGATGCTTTAATTAATTGAAGGATCTTGTCATTCATTTATTTCCTACAAATAGTAAAAGATCACTCACATTAACATGTAAGTTGATGCAGGTTTGATTTACTAATTTATATTTCAGTAAATATGATTATACCCTTGTTTCTTTTGACAAGATATGGGCAATGGCCAGAAATGTTGGTAGATCACTAGCTGATTAATGATTCAGGGGTCCCAGGTTTGAATCCTGGTCTGGTCCATTGCATAATTCTTTTTTCCTGTTACTATTTAATATATTTACAATTATATTTGTAGGAAGTTCAGCATTCAGAGAATTTTCTTCTGAAGCCCTCAACTGTTGTGGAACAATTGGACACATCGCAATGGCCACTGCTACTCAAGGTAAAGAAAATATTTAAATGTAGATAAAAAACAATATGTTCAAGATCATTTAAACCAAGTATAAAATTTCTGCCATGTATTATTACTTTGACATTAATAAAATATTGAATGTAATTTGATAAATTTTTATGCCCCCCCCCTCCTTTGAAGAAGGGAGGGCATATTATTGCTTTGCTGCTATCTTTCGGTCTGTCTGTTGGCCCACCATCAGTTTTTGTTTATCTTTGCTGAGGTTGCACATATTGAAAAAAATTTGGTATACAGATTTATCATAAAAAATATCGAGGTAATGTTTTATTTTGGGTAACCCATTTTGAACAGAGTTATGCCCCTTGGACTTAGAAAAATTTCAATTCTTCAAAGTTTCTGTTCATTTTCTTTGCAGAGGTTGCTTATGTATAAAAGAAATTTGGTATACAGAATTATCATAAAAATATCTAGGTCAAGTTCTGTTTTGGGTATGATCAAGCCATTTCAATTAGAATTATGCCCCCTTGGATTAGAAAAATTCCATCATTTCGGGGAGAGAGTATAAGTGTTTTGTCTTGTTTAAAGTGGATTTTTAAGATTTGAACATTTTATTTTTGTGTTTTTGCAGAATTTTGACAAATTGAATGTGAGAACTGCTCACTACACCCCCATTCCAGCAGGTTGTTCACCACTGAAAAGACCAATACAGGAATACATCAAGTAGGTCTCACCCTCACCCCTACCCACATCCACCCACATCCCAAATTAAAAGATACCTCAACTCGTTACAATTCATCTAACCTTTTACTTTGAAATATAAAAAAGAAAACACTTAGATTGTAAAATATTCTCATTTTGAATTCATTTTATCTCCCAAATTTGCAAACTTTTCAATTATGAATTGTAGAAGTGGGTTTATCAATCTTGACAAACCCGCCAATCCCTCTTCACACGAGGTTGTATCCTGGGTGAAGAGGATCTTACGTGTACAGAAGACTGGACACAGTGGGACCCTCGACCCCAAGGTCACGGGGTGCCTCATTGTCTGTGTCGAGAGGGCCACACGACTGGTGAAGTCACAACAAGGGGCAGGGAAGGAGTATGTGTGTATCTTCAAGCTTCACAGCGTGGTGGACGATGAGAAACTTGTATCACAGGTGATTTGGCAACACATGCTATTAGAAAACGTCAACAAATTTTTCTAAAAAAATGTTAAATTGTAAAATTTTCTTGAAGTTAAAATGTGCTAGGGCTCTTGCTTTCTATTTATTTAGGGTTCTTAAACCCTCTGCTCACTCGTATAAAATGTTCAATAATATGAAATATAAACTTTTAAAAAGTATCTCTGTTTTTGTACATCAAATGAAAGATGAATAATCTGCATGTAATTTTCTCTGACAGAAACTGGAGATGATGACAGGGGCATTGTTCCAAAGACCGCCATTAATTTCCGCCGTGAAGAGACAGCTGAGAATTCGTACAGTGTATGAATGCAAGATGCTGGAGTACAACAAGGATGATGCAATGGGTAAATAGAGCATTGATTTATCCTCTAACTTGTATGCTAGAAACTTCATCACGTTCTTTATGAAATTGTTTTGACCAACATCTTTGTGTTGGTGGACATGTTTGCTGACAGGCAATTTAAATGCATGATAATCAAAACAGAATTTCAGATAACTTCAATTACTTTATATTTTGTACTACATAACCTATATATGAGGCAAATTTATAATCTGCCAGAAACTGTCAGTGACATTAATGGTGCTTTCCCACCTTGCTCAGGTATTTTCTGGGTGAGCTGCGAAGCCGGCACATACATTAGGACCATGTGTGTTCATCTGGGTCTGTTTCTGGGGGTCGGGGGTCAAATGCAGGAGCTCAGACGAGTTAGATCTGGTATCATGTCAGAAAAGGTGGGTGTGTGTGTGATGAAAAATACGGTGTTTTAAGTAGATATCAAAATTGTTTTAATTTAACATAATACATTGTAACATCCAAAGGTTTTGTTTCTGTTGTATAGATATTTCTTCTGAGAAAATTTAAGCATTAATTTCAAGGAGAAACAATTTCCAGAGTGTTTTAGCTCACCTGAGCCAAAGGCTCAAGTGAGCTTTTCTGATCAAAATTTGTCCATTGTCTGTCGTCGTCGTCGTTGTCGTCATCGTCGTTGTAAACTTTTCATATTTTCATCTTCTTCTCAAGAACCACTGAACCAATTTCAACCAAACTTGCTACAAAGTATCCTTGGGTAAAGGGGATTCAAGTTTGTTCAAATGAAGGGCCAGGCCCTTTTCCAAGGGGAGATAATTATGAATTAGAGAAAAATTAATGGCATATTTAAAAAATCTTCTCAAGAACCACTGGGCCAGGAAAGATGAAACTTGTGTGGAATCATCCTCAGGTAGTGTAGATTCAAATTTGTTCAAACCTATCCCCGGGGGTAGAAGGTGTGTCGGCCAAAATGGCCGGTCAAAGTTTTACATAGGAGTATATAGGAAAAATCTTTTTTAAAAACTTCTTCTAAAGAACCACTGAGCCAGGAAAATGAAAAATATAGTGGAATCATCCTAAAAAAGTGTAGATTCAAGTTTGTTTTTTCAATATACATGACCCCCGTCTGTAACAAATGTTTAAAATGGCTGATCAACGTTTTACATAGGAATATATAGGAAAAATCTTTAAAAATCTTCTCAAGAACCACTGGGCCAGGAAAGATGAAACTCATGTGGAATCATTCTCAGATATTTTTGATTCAAGTTTGTTCAAATCATGATTCCCGGGGGTAGGGTGGGGCCAAAATGACCGATCAAACTTTTACATAGGAATATATAGGGAAATAAACCTTTTAAAATCTTCTTTTCAAGTACTTCAAAGCCATTTTAGTGATATTTATATTTCAATTTTTATATATTTGAATCATCCTCTTTTAGTAGTAGATTATTTGTTATAATCAATCCCTACACTGTAAGTCTCTTAGGGGGGGGGGAAATTAGATAATTGAAATCTGTGTCCCCTGTTAAACTTTCAGTTCTGATCTGATCAATGTATGATTATTGAAGCCAATTGCTCAGGTGAGCGATGTGGCCCCTGGGCCTCTTGTTTGTTTGTTTTTTTTTCCGTGAAAATTTTTGCATTCATTTTAAAAAAAGAAATTTCTCTGAGACACTGTGTGTTGATTTTGCAGGCAAACTTGTACACCATGCATGACGTGTTAGATGCCCAGTGGATGTATGACCACCACAAAGATGAATCTTACCTAAGGCGAGTGATCAACCCTCTGGAGGCATTGTTAACATCTCATAAAAGAATCATCATGAAAGACACAGCTGTAAGTTTACGTAGAAATCTTTAGAGTAATTGAAAAATACATTGGAATGTGCTGTAAACCAACTTTTATTCGTGTGCAAGAAATTTTCTTGAGGTTCACAAGATCCTCATCATCGTGAATATTTATCAGCATGAACTTGTCCTTAAAGCCTCTGGGTATTTTAACAACAGATCCAAAATATCGTGAAAATTAATGGTCAGGAAATCGAGAAATAAAGTCGTCGGGAATTAAAGTTGGTTTACAGTACTCATCAAAGACAAAAGATTTAATGGACATTTTTTGTTCAGTTAAGGTACATTTAGAATTCTATATAAAATACGTGTATGAGTGAATATTTGTCAATCATGCATGTCCATGCAGAAAGTAAAGCTTGTTATTAAGGGCAAGTTTGAAATCGACATTTTTTTGTCTTAAACATTTTTTATTCAAAGTACCTTCAGCCCTTGTCTAATATTTTGTATTATTTGGTTACAGGTGAATGCGGTTTGTTACGGAGCTAAGATTATGTTACCTGGTGTCCTTAGATATGAAGATGGAATTGAAGTCAATGAAGAAATTGTGATCTTAACCACAAAAGGAGAAGCAGTTGCTCTCGGTGGGTTTTTGATTTTGAAAACAGAAATTAAGCATACTAATCTAATGTTATAAAAGGCAGTTTTTAAAAATAATGGCAAGGGTTATTGAAAAAATCCATACATCAGATGTAAATAGAGGATATTCAATGTTTTGTAGTTGAATATGGAATTTATTTCACGAGTGGGACAGGATTTTTGATATTTTCACGAGTGCGAAGCACGAGTGAAAATATCAAAAAATCCTGTCTCACGAGTGAAATAAATTCCATATTCAACTACAAAACATTGAATTTTCTGTTTATTACATTTTTTAAAAAAATTCTTTGATTTTTCCTTTGCCTCTGTCTTTTTGTAATACAGTCATGGGCTCGTGACGTCATAGTTGAGCGGTTGAGACGTCATAGCTAAGTGAGGTGAAAACACTGTAAACATGAATTTAACAACATATTTTTGGTAATTTTGACAGTTTTATTCGCTGTCAGAATGGGTTATTTATTTCCATCCATATTAATTTTTTTACAGTGATCTTCGTTATGAGGAAATCGAGAGTTTTCCCGCACTTCTGATATTCGTCACACTGTGACAGGATATCATTTTGATATCCTTTCACACTGTGAACAGGATATCATTTTTATTCAATGAATAAATTACAGTATTTCACGGGTAAAAATGTAATAAACCAAAATATGCTGCATCTTGTAATTCTTCAGTTTGGAATCCATCTGTGACTACTTATTTTACCATGGCAATTAGCATTGTACTTAAATACATCAGTAAATAATTGGTTCCCAATAAGAAATATTAGTGAGTAAAATGCCATAGGTATTTCTTAGCAATAAAAGTTGGTTCACAGTACCTCGGTAATAATGGGAATTTTGCTCTCTTTTAGCCATAGCCCAGATGACTACAGCAGTGATGGCCACATGTGATCACGGAGTTGTGGCAAAGATCAAAAGAGTGGTGATGGAGAGAGACACTTACCCAAGGAAGTGGGGGCTGGGCCCGGTCGCTTCTCAGAAAAAGAAAATGATTCAAGCAGGAACGCTAGATAAATATGGAAAACCCAATGAGAAGACCCCAGCCAACTGGAAAAAGGGTTATGAAGATTTCAAGTAAGTGTTCAACTGTTCATAAATAATATCCTCAATTCCAAAATATTTTTGCATTGGTAACAATGAATATGAGTTGAAAAAAGTTGATTGATAGTATATGCAATCTCATGTATCTGTGCTTATTAGAGCTAAAAGCATCTTTTTTTTATTAATTGGTCATGAAAATCAAACTAATTGCAACAGAATTTCTCTTGTTACAAATAAGGTAACTAAAGAATGTGCAATAGAAATGTAACAAAAATATAGAACAAAATCATATGACAAGAATCATTGGGGGTAAATCAATTATCTTTGAAAATTTTTATGGAAAAGGGGTATAACTCTTGTCTTTTCAGAAAATTTGCTTAAAATTTTAGTGCATTATTTTCCTACCTTGATTAAAGAGGAATGGAATAAATTTATACCAAATAAAATCTTTTTCATCTTTACAGTGTAAAGAAAGAGATGAAGCAAGAACCTTCAGAAGAAACAGTTGTCAACTCACACAAGGTAATGAATTTGTTTATATATCAAACACCACGCAAGATGGCTGTAAATTTATTCATTGCATCTTTGGATATCTTTTCTCTTTTAAAGTTCTTGATACACTTGCTTAGAGTTTCATGTAAAAAATGGTTCATGCCATAGGAAGTCAAAATAGCAAAATTGCAGTATCTTATCCTACCCTGATTAAGTTCTCATGGATAATAGCTTGACATTTTGCAATTGAATATGTTTCTGTTTAAGTAAAGAAGCCATTTTAGAAGCTAGAATAATATTATTAATACCAAAAAATATTGGGAGATGTAAAAGTAATGCAGATTTAAAACCAAACGTGTAGTAAAAACCATAAATAATTATTTGTGATGGCCTATCTTGTAGAGGAAGAAAGAAGCCAGTACCTCCGAGGAGAGTGAGCCCCCGTCACCTCCCCCTGCCCCGGCGGAAGATGTGGAGAAGGAGAAAAAGAAGAAGAAAAAGAAGAAGAAAGACAAAAATCAGGAAGCTGATGAGGCAGGGGATGCCCCAGAGGTATGGGTCATAGGTCATAAGGTCAAATGTTTAGAAATTGTGATGTATTATAGACAGGTTTGGAATATTGTAGCTAGACAGTTTTTTTTTATTTCAGTTTAGAGTAAATAATCTCCATCCATAAGGGCATTTATTGGCCAATTCTGTAAACTTTGGGTATTGAGAATTAAATTAAGATTTAATTGCACATGATCTTTGTATTTGAAAAAAACTTTGAGACCTCTGTTAAATTGGTTTCCAGATGAGAATTTTGGAAAAATACTGAAATGTTGTATTGCATGTATTTTTTAAAATTAAAATATTACAATAAACCCATTATCAATTATACATTCCTCATGTGACCAGTCATGTTATAAAGTTTAATATGTTTCATTTGTATTTCTTTAGGAATCGCCAGAAAAGAAGAAGAAAAAGAAAAAACACAAAAAAATAAAGACAGAGCCTGCAGAAAGTGACTGATAAACAATGTGTCTGTGTGTCTGTCTGTGTGTGAGGAGAAATCATCGGTGAGAGAGACAGAGTGTGAGAGTTTCATGTGGCATTTCTCAGTTTTATCAACAAACTACAGTCAAATGCTGTTAAGCCTGATACATTTACATGTAGGTGGAATACGGTGACCTGATTTGACCAGGTTATGGATACTTGATGTGTTCATATTTTGTATATTTCTCTTTTATATATATGTTAAGAATGAAATGTGCTGTTAGTCTGTTAATAAAATTGTTTTCATCCATACCTGTCATTTATATGTGCTCACTATTGCTTTAAAGCCACAGGACAGGTTTAGATACCATGTACGTGTCCAGGATTTTCTTTGTAGGGGAGGGGAAGGGGGGGCGTTTCCATTTAAACATATCAAGTCAGGCATTATTGCTGATCCCCAAGAAAATTTTAACTTGTATTCTCTGAATCTCAAAATTCTTAAAGGGGTGTGTCTCCTTCAAGTGTATTAATGTCAATTACATTTGTTACATTTTACTAGGGCTCCACTTTTCCTGCATTTTATTTTGATGGAGGAATTTTGAGTATGTTTCCTTACTTTACAATTTTGCAAAAAATTTGGTATTTAATAGCAGACTGTGTGCTTGATTATATAGCATAAACATCAGAAAAAATTATACTGTTAAAAGGTATGAAGTGAAAATGCATCAGTTCTTTTTTAAAAAGATTAATTCTCTTTCTTTGTATGGGCAGCAGACAAACTAAGAGCATTAATTCCAGACTGAATTGTCTACTGATTTTTCTGTTATTTCCCGATCATGACACGAAGCACAGTGACATGGCGGTTGTGTCCGGTCGACAGGGATACTTGTGTAGCTACCAACGACACAATGGTATTTCTTCACTTCTCAGTAATCGCCAAGACTTGCAGTATAATATTCATCTGATGTTTTTTTTTTCCCACGTCTTTTAAATTTTACGTGCCAGTTTTCCTGGCACATAAAATATCAAAATTGTGAAGAAAAAAATCATCTTAAGGCAAAGACCCCTGTGTTTTAAGTAAATACGAGGAATATTTTAAACCTTTTTGTCATCAGGTGCCAGAGATCTTATTATTAATGTACGTGTATCATAGCTTAGGTATATTTAGGTCACCTGAGTAAACTCAGGTGACCTATTGCTATCACTTTTCGTCCGTCGTCATTCGTCGTGCGTCGTGCGTCGTGCGTTAACATTTGAACATTTTCAGCTTCTTCTCTGAAACCACTGAACCAATTTCAACCAATTTTGGCATATAGCATCTATGAGTGAAGGGGAACAAAAATTGTGAATTTCATGGTCCCTGCCCCCCTGGGGCCTGGGGGGTGGGGCAAAAACCACTAAAATTAGTGCAATCTTTAAAAATCTTCTTCTTTACTCCTGGACATCAAGCAGTCAAACTGTTTGCATGATTGTAATCAGCATTGAGTCCTCTACCAAAATTGTGAAATTCATGGCCCCGGGGTCAGGGGTTCTGGTGTTAGGGTGGGGCTAAATAAGTATATAGTGAAATTTCATGAATTCTTTGAAAATCTTCTTCTCTGCTCCTGGGTATTAAATAAACTAACTAAGTGCATAGTTATGATGAGCAAGAGTGCCTCTACCAAAATTGTGAATTTTATGGCCCCAGGGTCAGGGATTCTGGTGTTAAGGTGGGGCTCTATAGATTACATAGTGAAAATACATAAATTCTTTGAAAATCTTCTTCTCTGCTCCTGGGTATTAAATAAACTAACTAAGTGCATAATTATGATGAGCAAGAGTGCCTCTACCAAAATTGTGAATTTTATGGCCCCAGGGTCAGGGGTTCTGGTGTTAGGGTGGGGCTCTATAGATTATATAGTGAAATTTCATGAATTCTTTGAAAATCTTCTTCTCTGCTCCTGGGTATTAAATAAACTAAATAAGTGCATAGTTATGATGAGCAAGAGTGCCTCTTCCAAAATTGTTAATTTTATGGCCCCAGGATCAGGGGTTCTGGTGTAAGGGGGGGGGGCTCTATATATTATATAGTGAAATACTTGAATTCTTTGAAAATCTTCTTCTGTGCTCCTGGGTATTGAATTAACTAAGTGCTTAGTTATGATGAGCAAGAGTGCTTCTACCAAAATTGTGAATTCGATGGCCCCAGGGTCAGGGGTTCTGGTGTAGGGGGGGGGGGCTCTTTAGATTATATAGTGAAAATACATGAATTCTTTGAAAATCTTCTCTGCTTCTGGGTATTAAATAAACTAAATAAGTACATAATTATGATGAGCAAGAGTGCCTCTATCAAAATTGTGAATTTTATGGCCCCAGTGTCAGGGATTCTAGTGATAGGGTGGTGCTTTATTGATTATACACTTAAAATACACTAAATCTTTGAAAGTTTTCTTCTCTGCACCTTGGTATTAAGCAGATGAACTACCTATGTAGTTATGATGAGTTAGGGTCCTAATCTTCCAGAATTGTGAATTTCAAGGCCCCAGGGTCAAGGGTACCATAAAGGAGGGGGGGGGGCTGTACTAATAAACTGAAACTTGATAAATTGTTTGAAATCTGCTCCTTGGTATTTATCAAATATTTTTGAAAAGCAAGGGTGCCTTTTCAAAAATTGTGCAATGTGTGGATCTAGGCCTAAGGGTCAGGGGTTCATGTGTGATTGGGGCATTACTGATCATGCTGAATATTACTGATTACTTGAAATGCATTTTTTGTTTCCCTACCCTGCCTATGGGTATTAAGTAAACAAACTAAGCAACAGCTAAGTGTATTGTTATGATGATCAATGGTGCCTATTTCAAAATTGTGAATGCCATAGCATCTGGATTATAACATGAATCAAATTCAATCACTGGAAAGTTGTTGCATAATGCTCAGGTGACCTATAAGGCCCATGGGCCTCTTGTTTCAATATATAGTCTCGGGTCTTTTTTGTGTGAAGAAAAATATTTCCATTCATAGTTACATGTAGCTGTATATAAAGTTTTGAAATACTAATACTTTATCTTTTTCTAGTTTCAAAAATTCTATGCCTTTGTGAATTCTTTCTTGGAAAAATGCTTTGAAAAGCTTATTAATAGTTTTATTGCAGTCACTTTGATGCTTTGCATTAACTGTTAACACATTATTTATAAAATATTGTTTAAGAGATCTCTCTGAAACGGAGGACAAAAAAAAGGGGGGGGGGTGTTAATGTTGCTCATCAGCGTTATGCTTTACAACAAAGCTAATTTGCAGTTGGACCTCCTCAATAAATTATTTAAAAAGAAATCCAAGCTGATACAATTCTATTAAAATTATAAATTGCAGGTTATCCTAAAATCTGGGGTGTTTTTGTTTTTTTTACTTTATTTTTAAAATTTATATTAGGTATATTTAGTATTACGCTATTACATTTTTTTTGCTTGTCAACAATTTCGGTAACAGGTTCGTTCGCCCGATCTACCTGTTCGCGGCAGTCCGTTCGCGCAGGGTCCGTTCGCCCAAAAATTTCTTCGCCCAATAAAAGTTTCGCCTAATACTTATATATTATATTATATATACTTACATATATTAACTTATTTGAAATAAAGATTAACATATATTTTTATTTCCTTTAAGAACTTGGGTTATTTTTTCTCAAACCAGGAACAATGTTTATTTAGTCTTAATTAATTTTTGATTTGATTCTAATGCATTTATTAATGATTTAGTGTTTGACTATAGTTAATTAGATGACTAATATCAATGTTAATTGGGGGGATACACCCGTGGTTTTTTTTTTTTTTACGAATTGGGCTATGTTTTGACAACAATTAAGGGACTGAGACGTTGATAGATCCCTTACAGAACTAAGCAGCGGATCCTGAAGGTTTTACCTTTGAAGAATCTCCCTTTGATCTCATAAAATGATTGATAAGAAGATGGAAGATGAAAATTCAACAGGCCTGTCAGGTCTTTGATAGAGCATGTAGAATAGAATAGAATAGAATATCATTTATTTCCAATTTTGGGCCCATGATGAAGGGCATTCAAGAAAAATACAACATAAATAAAATATAAAGGTAAAGAGAGGAAGAGATCCAAATGATAGTTGAATTCATATGCAACAATGAATATGTATAATATATGATAAAAGTACACAAACGCAAACATTATGCCACATCATGCAGAAATTTTAGTGGATATCTACCTTGTTTGCATATTATATCATTCTCGACTTTCAGGAACATCCCGAGACAACACTGGATCTTTTATTGTAACATTTAAATATATATTCTGCAAAACTATTTATTATATCACTTCTTTCATTTGACATTATTCATATAAATTTATTTCTATTTGAGAGTGAGGAGAAATTTTTATTTTCTTCACTTATATGACTAATGAATACTTGCCTATATAGTTTATAAGCTGAACATTCAAATATAAAATGGATTTCATCTTCTACAGAGTCTGAAGCACAAAGTTTACACTTTCGGTCCGTGGCAGGCACATTTCTGTATCTGCCAGTTTCAATTTCAAGCTTATGTGAACTAATGCGGAAGTTTGTAAAACATTTAAGAACTTCTGGTTTTGATATCATAGAAAGATTTTTTTCTTTTATTAGTCTTGTTTTGTATAATCCATATGTTCGAAGTTTGCCTTTTTCATTTCTAACACACTCTGATAAATTATTTTGCCATATATTAGTAAATCTTCTATTTAGTTCATTATAAACTATTGATGGAAGGTTTTCAGCCAAGACGTTGTCACAGGATATGTAGTATGACCCTATGTGACATATGCACAATCAGTCAGTATTATTTCGAATGTACCAAAAATGTACAAAGAAATTCATTATATTATATTCTAGCCTATATAAAATTTGGGCGAACGGACCCTGTGCGAACGAGAAATTGGGCGAACGGGATATTTTTTTTTTAGGGCGAAGGAACATGGAACCAACAATTTCAATAGGTGATGCTCTTCCTGACCAAATTACTGTTTAAATGCTCATACAACGATATTTTTCTAAAATCTTTTTCACAGAAGTAAATTCTTTGTCCAACTTGCGTACTTTAGGCCTATCAATAAAAAAAAATCAAACAAAGGAACATAACTCGTCTATGAAGGAGGCATTCGGAAATATTATTAGGTCACTTGCGTATGGAAAATGACAGAGTATATTCCGAATGAGAATTGGTTACCAAGGAAGTAGATCCTTTTGTCAACAAAGAGTTACGGAGCGCGAAAATGTGCGGACTGTGTAAAGGCGCAGAGATAGAAAAAGCAAAATACACAAGGAAGAAA